GTTTTCTTCTTAAATTTGTAGATGTGAATGCTGACCATAAATAAGTTGGGGCAGCATGATGGCTTCATCATAGTCCCTAGTCTACTATACACATCATTACATTGTTCTCAATTATAATTTTGAAAAGGTCTAATCAAAATATTTTATGGTAAGAACTTCAGGGCAAAACTCACAGAATCCATGTCCTTGACTTTTCACAGTAAGAAAGAAATAAAAGTTAAAAGTCTGAGAGAAAACATGAAATGCCTAACTACATAGGTGTGACAAATATGCATCTTTCAAGATGGCAGCCCGGGAGAGTTTAACTATGGTGTGTGGAATAACTGTGCTTCAATTCACTAAGGGCTGTGAAATATTCCTGGCTCAAGAATGATGTGCCACTCTCTGTGTAAAGAAACCACGGTAGATTTGAACAAAAAGAAAAGTTGGAAAACCACCAACTCACACAAACTGTTTCACACAGGAATTGTTCTTAAGAACAAAAGTGTCGTATGTCGGTTCAAAAGTGATTGTACTTTATTAAAACCTGCCTATATTCCACTTACAGATCTATGTAGAACACTGAGTGAATCAAGGAGTTATTCATATTCCCATTACTATAAGGAAAGTAAGAATATTTGTGTATTTACATAAACATTGGTTTTATTTCCAGTAAAGTGAGACCTCATGATTCTGGCCTGAAAAATATTTGATGAGTAGTATAAGTCATGAATTTTAAAAACAAAGAGGCATTTACGATTTAAATGTTATTCTAGTGGTTATCCCCATGGAAGCTATATTTGGAAGGCTGAGATTCTCTTAGTCAATATTAACGTTACATTACTTTCTCTTGACGTACTCTATGTACACTGTCCTGAAGACAGCTAGCAATAATGCCATTGCCATAGTGTCCCAGGACTTAGCTGCAGTTGTTGGATTAACTTTCCACATCCAAAAGCTACATTTGCTAATAAAATGATATAATGTGAAATCCTACAGAAACACCCATTCCATCATTCCTTGAATAGCAACTTCTTTAACAAATGAGATCAGAGTGGAGGTGGATATTATGATAGCATCACACGGGGTGATGAAAATGAACTGAGAAGGGTATATAAAATGTTCTTCTGGCTGCATGCCTAGCTATCAATTTGGCGTCACCTACAGTGTGGAGCCTCTGAGGCCTTAAATTGCTGAGGAGAAAAACGGGAACAGTGGTTTTAAATACTCTGCTACTTCTTTTCAAAAGAAGTTTTAGTTCACCAAATTCACTCCTTAGAAACTACCACTACTAAAGCTTCAGCGTTTCAAACCTGGTGTTGTTGAGATGCAACAGAAAACACAGATTTATTTTATTTCTACTGCAAAATGACGAGGAGCTACTGAAGGGAAATAAATACATATGAATTCATGTAATCCATAACTTGAAATTATGCCTAAAATACTTATGTAATACTGGTTTTAGAAGCCAAAATGATCACATCTATTAGGACCAGTTCATAAATTTAAGTGTATCTTAGAAGTGCTGATATACACAGAGGCTTTTTTTTAAACTTTATTGGGGAACAATGTGTTTTTTCTAGGGCCCACCAGCTCCAAGTCAAGTTATTGTGGAGGGTGCAGCTGAGCTCCAAGTCAAGTCATTGTTTTCAATCTAGTTGTGGAGGGTGCAGCTCACTGGCCCATGTGGGAATCAAACCGGCAACCTTGGTGTTATGAGCCCGCACTCTAACCACCTGAGCCAACCGGCCACCCCTATATATGCTCTTTTTAAAGGATTATTTAACGTATATATGCTTTGTTATCATGGGGATCAGAATGAGAGTCTTACCAGTAGGGTATGTGAAATCAATTTGGTCTTAGGATTAAGAACAGATAAGAAAGGGGAACTACAAGGAAAATTGCAAATAAAAAAAAAATAAGGGCTAGCTGACATTTAAGCTGTTCTACTTTTAGTTATTTTTTGTTATTAAATCATGCTGCGTACATTCTCCATCTATCCTCAGTATCCTATAAATGCTCTTGTGTCACAGATATGGCTAAAAATGAATCCTTTATCTCTGTTCTAAAGCCTATATATCCAGCCACTTAATTGATTTATTAACTAATTTAGTTCCTTTGGGACATTCTCCTAAAGTTGTCATTTTGGGCGGGGGAGGGGGGGAATGTTAAAAAATTTAGTTCCCATGTATTTGGATAAAAATCGCATTTTTATTTTTTTATTTTATTTTTTAATGTTGAACAAATAAGAAGTAATATATTTCAAAACATCATTTTAATTTTCATGTGGGCAGCAATGTTAACCATTGCTTTAGATGTTAGACATGGGGTCATGGAATGTTGGGGTGGAAAAGATTTTAAAGTCAAATTTTTAATTTTCTTTTAAATTTCTACCTATTATCTTAACAAAGATCGAATTAAATCAACCTTAGACTACAGACTTCATGAGGGCAAAGACCAAGTCTGTTTCATTCATAACCACATGTATAGCATGCTGTACAGTGGCTCATAAATAGTAACTGAATGAAGGAATAAAGAAGCTGAATCAGATTCCTTACAAGTTGCTTGGAGTTCAAAGATATACAGCATTATCCTTGCTCCTGAGAACCTCCCTTTCTCTGGGAGAAAAACAGTACATAACTGACTTCCTACAGTGGATGTGAAATTTAAGTGTGACCATTCAAACCTATGTAGTGATCTATGAAAGCTCTGAATTGAGAGCAGTTCCATCTGTTTGGCAGGAGTTGGGGATGGGGGACACTTAGGCCAAACTACAAAGACAGGTGCCATTTCAACTGTGTTTTGAGGAACAAATGGAAGTTTAGCAGGCAGAGAAGGTGTGGGCTGACCCAGGCAGAGAGAAGAGAGCATTTGCAAAGGTAGAGAGTTAGGAAAGAAGATGGCTTATTTGGACCAAAAGGTGGTATGGTCAGAGTGAACGCAATGGCCTGGGGGATGGAAACAACAGTCAGGAACTGAAACCAGAGCTAGGAAGAAAAGGGCTGGAGTGGCCAATTAGCTCGGGTGGTTAGAGTGCAGTTCTCATAATGCCAAGGTTGCCGGTTCGATCCCTGCATGGGCCACTGAGATGCGCCCTCCACAACTAGATTGAAACAACGACTTGTCCTGGAGCTGATGGGTCCTGGAAAAACACACTGTTCTCTAATAATTAAAAAAAAAGAAAAAAGAAAGAATGAAAACGGCCACCTGCCCTCTCCATCCACTGGACTTCACTCTCAGGCAGGCAGTTTCCTCTAAGCAGTTTGGATTGGCGTGGTAAGAGGATGGATAATGCAGAAATATCAGTTAAGAAACTGTTTATTCATTCACCAAACATTTAAAAGGTAGTGTTTCTGATAATGCCAGATACACTGACCGGGAAATGGAATTTAAAGATGTAGAATGCAACAATCTGAGTACCAGATACTAAAGGTTAGAACAGGACATGGTTGAAAAGAGGAGAGAAAACATAAAAAGAGATATTCTGATGTAAAACGAGCAATCAAGTGCAGTCAGTGAAAATGCAGACGAATTTGGCAACTTGTTGGATTATGATCCATTAATGGAAGCAGAAAACACAGAAGAAAGGGCAGGTAAAAGGGAATAGCAATAAGGGAAGGGACAATCCAACAGGAAAACAAACAAACGGGGTTTCAGAATGGTTGTATTTTGATTCTAATGGCATATGGGTTAGGAGATCAGAAAAGAGGTCCAGACTAGAAATTTAGATTTGTCACCATCCATGCCATTTCACATGGGGAGCACTTACTCAATAAAAAGAGAATTGAGCCAAGGTTAGAAACTTGGGCACACCAACATTTGAAGGCTAGGTAGAGTTTCAGAATTAAGGGGAATGAAGGAAGAAGAAGAATGCGAATGGAACAGAGCCATGAAATGCAAGGGAGGAAAGACCTTCTAGAATGAGGGTGCTGGCAAACATGCGGAGTGCAGGTGAGAAGTCACTTATTTTGAATCTGAACCTGGGAGGACGTTTGTTGGTTTTGAAGCTAGATGAGTAAACAAAATATGCTTCGAGTTGCTGGCTTTCACAATAATACTCCTAAATATGTATATTCTTTTTTTATGAATATATATATCAGCTTTGTGCCACAAGGGAATGTAACTTTGGTCTCATGGACAGTATTTCAGACAACAGAAAGGTGGTTACCAGAGGGGGAAGGAGCTGGGGGGGAAGTGAAATGGGAAAAGGGGGTCAAATATGGTAAGGGAAGGAGACTAGACTTTGGGTGGTGAACACCCAATAGGGTTATACAGATATCATATTATAAAGTTGTGCACCTGAAATTTATATAATGTTATTAACTAATGTTACCCCAATAAATTTACTTTAAAAAGTATTCCAAATATATAATGACATTTTCTAATACCTACAGTGGGTCAATACAATTAAAAATTGTATTATACTGGGAGGGGTTTATCACTTTGTGAGGGGTGTAAATGTCTATTACATTGTTTTGTATACCTGAAACTAACAGGGAAAAAATTGTATTATACACATTGCCTTCTAAGGGAAGGCCAGTGCTAACGGCTATAACAGTACCATAACTCACCCCAGTCCTATAGTTTAGTCACCAAAAAGCCCAAACCTAGTCTTCTGGCTCTTGATTAAGTACTGTATTAATATTAATATATTTTCCAGCGTGATACTAAATGCCACAGAGAACACACACACACACACACACACACATGTGAATCAGACCCCTTTAGTACAAATGCTTACTAGTTACTATTAATTTCCTAATAGCAAAATCAAAATGAGTTTTCTCCCTATAACGTTTTAATACTTTGTTTTGTATTATTGAAGACAGACAATTAGATCACTATCTTCTCTTCAAGAAACCACCACAAGCAAGAAGACTGAATTTGTGAAAGACAGACTGATTTCTAACACTGAAGGGCCCTATTTTTAACTTTGTGAGGAGAAAATCCTGCACTATTGTTCAGATTAGCACCTCTTTGGAGTCTCTCCATGAGCCCCGAAGGAAAGTAGTAGATGGTACCTTGACTTTTTCAAGGTGGTCCTGGAGCGAGTCGATGAGGAGATCACCCACGGGCTGCCAGGATCCCTTGATCACTTCAGCTTGGCGTAGTTTGAGGTCCAGCTCATCCGTGGCTTCCTGCAGTTCCTGGAGTCTTTCGAGGGCCTCGTCTAATTTTCTCTGCCAGTCAGCGGAATGCAGGTTTAATTTTTCCCACTCACTGTTGACCTCTTCAGCCTGCTTTCGTAGGAGCCGTGTGACATTCTGGGCTCTCTCCTCAGGAGGTAGCTCTAAATTGGTAATATGACAAGGTTTTAGGTCACATTCATTTTTGTTTTAAAAAAACATTGTTGAAAAGGTCATACTGAAATAAAGAGTACAGTTTAACAAGAGGCCAAGCTACAGATTAATGAATGACTCTTTTGCACTTTGGCATACATCTTGATATAGTCCGGCACATCTAAAGTCTGTCTTCCTGAGTGAATTTGCTCTACACTGTATTAATCAGATAATCCAGGATTCACTTATATATTGAGGAGGAAAATGTTAGGATGCACCCCGCAAGCTCTAATTTCAGGCTCTTCCATTGAAAATTAACTTGAGTCTTTGTAACAATAGAAATCCTCCTCACAGATAATCTCTGTTGTTTATTATTTTCTAAATGTTTTAATAGCTGATCACTAATCTCTTTTAATATTTGTTTGTGAATGTGCAACCAGATTTATGCATGGTGGTTTATGACTCCTTATTCCTTTTTCAACAGCTATGTTTAATTTGAATCGATTCTATTTAACCTAGAAAATATGAGAGCTATCCAGACCCTGGCAGCCAGAATGGATGGGTCGCTCTGTCACCACTGATCCTTCTATCAATATGTTATTACAATTCCACATTCAATTACCTCTGGGTTCCTGGTAGAGTTTCTCTAGTCCTTCCAAAGGCTGTTCTGTCAGAAATATTCGTACAGTCTCAAGAGTACTCATGATTACAGGTTCTTTCGTTTTCAATTCCCTCTTGAAGGCCTGTGAAATGAAATGAAAAGAAATGCTTATTTGACTTGTGACACTCTTTTCAAAATGAATCCCGGGTACTCAGAACCTGGGTATGAAATTCCCATGTCAATTTCTACCTCCTTTATTTATAAACTGATAATTATAATACGATAAAGAGGGCGATATGGGCATTTTTGTTAATTAGGAAGAAACTATGTTTGTAAAAGTATTCTAGAGAGGGTAGGGAGCTTTCAAGACATGATAATGCCCTTTCATTAAGATAAGAGTGATTAATTTATATAACCTGACTGCCAAACTTAAAATCTAGAGCTAAAGTCACAAGATATATGTTGTAAAACCCTAGCAGGGCTAATGAAGACTTCTACATATCCAAAAGAATGGATATCCAGAACATAATGGGAAGCCTGGGGAGCCACTGGAAGAAGTTAGACTCTACTGAAGTACACAACCATCCAATTCATAATCACCATTCATTCTACCGAAATGTCTGACAATGAATAAAATGATGCATTAACAGTAAACTAAGTTAAAAACTCAATAATTAAAACAAATACCCATTGCATTATATTCATTGTGTCTTCTTTGAGAATGGTAGAAATGTTTTGAGATATTCTGGTGGTAGGATTGTGGGAACAAGTTTCTAAAAATGAGTACGCGTAGAATAGGTGTCTTGAGGTTATCTGGGCTAGGTATCACGTTAAATCTCTAATCTGCAATCTTCCTTGTTACAGGGGGTTAAAAGAAAAGCAAAATGCATAGTTTCTGCCTTCAAGAAGTACTGGACTAAAAGAAGGGAGAAAACTAATACACTAGAAAAAGAGTGAAAACAATAAGATTCATATATAATTGAGTGCTAAGGGTTGTGAGACATTCTGTGAGGCTAGGATAAACTAACAGATGCTCTGAAACCATCGAAGATAGTTACTGACTCAGACTCTGCAGTATCAGAAGTGAAGATGTTAATGAAAGTATAAAGTACCACATGAATGCTAAAAGATCAGTGTAAAAACTACAGTAATAATAATTGTCCTGATCTCGGGCTTAATTATTCATATCTTTAAAAAATTCTCTCTTATTTTTAGTAGTGATGCCCACTGAATTTAAGCTGTTCTGTTACTGGGAGGAAAATTAGCAGCTCCTTTAAACTTCAGATATGTTATGTTACAGATATGACACATCTACAAAGAAAATCCTAATGGTGTTCACCATTCAAAGGAATTCTGAGTCTGATACTTTGCAAAATGATTCATCTTCCCTAGTTATTTACAATTCAGTAGAGAGAGGCAAGGTGTGTGAGCCAAAATAATGAAATTCTGTAAGTGGAATATTAGGATTCAGCTTGTAGATGGAGATGCACTCTGTATAGTGGGATATTCTTGCACCCTTGAAATCATAGAGAGTAGGTGGGGTATGTACGCTGCTTAGAGGTAAGTCTGATTCTCCCCCTAATACTTCACTTGAAATCTGTGTTTGTGTGTGTATGCACACATGACTATGTGTATATGTATATAGTTCTTATATTCCTGTGTTTTTCTCATGCATCTAATTTTCCCAACTTCAAGAAAATTATTAGTTTGCCTAGTCTCTCCATTTGGACTTGACAAGAGGCAACTGATAGTGACATGACTAATTACAGAATTAATAACAGCTCCTTTTATCAAACTACAGTGTGTCTGTGGTGTACTAGAGATTAGAAATACAAAGTTGTATGTAGAGCAGCCCCTCCCATTGAGAAACTTACAGTATATAGTGGAAGAGTCAAACATATAATTTCAATACAATGTGGAAAGTGCTATAGGTTTGCACTATATGGGAAAGGAAATTGGGAAAGGCTTCCTGGAGAAGATAGTATTCATGAAGAATGCTAAAGCATGAATGTGAGCTAGACCGGGAAGAGCAGATCAGAGGAAGAGGAAAGAAAGAAGACAAAAATGCAGGTGCATAGACATAGGACATAATATAAGGTGGCATGTATAGTTCTCTCAAGTAGGTCAGAGTTTCTGGAACATCAAGTATTAGGAGAGGACATGTCCAGAGATAAAGCAGGACACTGTCATCTCAAACTATATTAGACCTTTAAGCCAGAGCTTGAAGCTCAATCTATGATCGTATGTGCCTTGCTAAGCCTAGGCGTTGTCTTGTAGGTAATCAGGAAGCTTTGAAAGGATCTCAGCAGCGGTGTGGCATGGTCATGTGTGTGTTTCAGACAGATTTCCCTGACATTAATACAGAGTATGGATTTGAGAAGGGCAGAAATGGAATCAGAGAGACCTGTTAAGCAGAAATTAAAAGAATTCAGTGAAAGGTTATGAAGATCTGACCCAGGGCAATGGAACGAGAAAAACCCCAAAAAGACAGAGCTAGAGCAGGGAAATGTTTAGAGAATAGAGATGTGAGAATTTGGTACCTGAATAGATGCTGGAGAGAAGAGAGAGGACGGGGCAAGGTGGCTCCTAGTTTCTAGGTTGAGTAGAGGAATGAATGCTGGGTGCAATTAAACTAAATGTGAGGACATAAATGCTCCTGGATTTCTCAGTACACCGATAAAAAGCTCTAGCCTCTTGAGAACCTTCCCAGATGTGAATTCGATCTGTAGCCACTTGTCTAGCTAAGTTCTCTGATCTAAGAGGGCCGAATGATCAGAGCCCAGAGTAGGTTCCTAGGTTAAGTTCCAAGTTGTCAGGAAAACTGGAATGACTTCCTGTCTAGGTATTTACATTAAAAAATATGAAGTCCAGAATTTAGGGATATTTCTAGATTATAAAACCTGAGACACATGGGGCTAGCTGGCTCCTGGAGAAGTTGGAGATAGGACTCAGGTCCATAAAGTTTTCAAGGAGACCCTTTCAAGGAGGAAAAGGGGACAAGTGTCTCCTTTTCCTTTGCAAACAGAGAAAAAAAATCACCTCTTCTGGTCTCTCACCTATGGAGTACCCAGCCACTCATGTAGGAAAAATTTTTTGTCAGCTCTCATCGTGTCTCTCTAGGGGTAAGACTTGGGCAAAGGGAGGAGAGTGGTGGTGATAGTTCCTGTTAAGTAATTAAAAGAAATCTGTCTCTGACCCCAGGATATCTCATATGCACATTCAGGATAAAATTAATAAAGATGAATATTAAAAACCCAACACCAATATAAGGGGGGGTCTGTATGGGGAACTGAATAAGGAGATGTATGATATGCTCAGCTTGGAGAGGTAACATTCATTCCAGGAGGAAATAAATATAAGTCTAATGTTTAGAGGGAAGAAAGAAGATTGAGAAGTTATTTTCTCACTAAGCTAATATCCATTGAGTGCCTATGATTATGCCTATGAGCATGCATATACGCAAGGGTTAAAATTACATAAGTAGAAGGTGACTGGTTGGCTCAGTTGGTTAGAGAGTGGTGCTGATAACATGAAGTTTGCCGGTTCAATCCCTGCATGGGCCACTGTGAGCTGTGCCCTCCTTAAAAGAGTCAACTATGCCATTGTAGCATGAAAGCAATGTGTAACCAATGACCATGGCTGTTCACCCCCCCCCAAAATTTTTTTTTAAAGATTATATAAGTAGATGAGATTTCTCAAGTCAATAGAGTGGGCTGAAAAGAAATTCCCCGAGAATAGAAAAACTTAATGGGCAGACAGAGGAATTGGATCCCATGAAAGGACAAAAAGGAATGGATAGGTGGAAAGACTGGGAGAAAAGAGGAGTATAGAACTATTGAAGAGAGAGTGAGAGTTTGAGAGGAAGAAAGTAACCAAGAGTGTCCAATCATGACACACAGACATAAAGCAAGATTAGGACTGAAAAGTGCTCATGGGACTTGGGAAGAGAAATTTCAGTGGAGGGCAGTAGCCTCAGAAGTAGGTTTAGCTGAGGAATGAGTGGGAGGAGTAGGTATTTCAAATAAAAACTATTTTTGCGATATCTTTTTTTTTGAGATTGCAAAGAGAAAGATAGGACAGAGAGGATCTTTTAAGGATAGAAATGGATTGAACATAGACTGTAAGATGGAAGCTAGCAGTAGGGTAACCAACCATCCTGGCTTGCCAGGTACTGAGGTATATTCATGATGTGGGACTTTCAATGCTGAAACCAGGACAGTCTCAAGCAAACCAGGACAGTTGGTCACCACAGCAGAGAGGGATATATTAACAACCGAGACAGGAGAAAGTTGAGATAATTGTTGGAGCCAAGTCTGTAAAATAAGAAAGTGGATCTTCAAGGCCCTGTCAAACTTAAAAAGTCCAAGACCCTGTTTGATGACGCAATTCCACTGTTAAAACTGAACAGCAAATAATTCAAGGAGAAGGACCATCCATCTACTGTGAGAGACCAGTTGTTTGCCCCTCGAGTTGTTGCCAAGGGCTTAGCTCCACCACAGCTGCACAGTTCATTTCTTAAATATGAGTCACTGAGGATTAAAATGAGTGTAAAGAAAAGACAAAGGAAGTTCTATTATTACAAAGACATAAGCACCATTATTTTCACATCGTTGCCTGAAATTAAGAAAAGAAAGTGGATGGAAGAGAAGGTTAAGTCACTATAGCTTCAGAATTTGCAAAGATTCAGACAAAATTCCAAAAAGGGTAAAAACTCCAGAAAAAAGGGAGAAATCGCTGGTTCAAGAAAATACAAGGATCAAGAAAATGGTAATGTTCCTTATTGAATGGAAAAAACTATAAATATGTCATTTGAAATGTAGTTATATAAAAGGTCCTCTTCCATTAATTCATATGACAAATTGTGAGCACCTACTATGTGCCAGACATTGTTCTAGGCAATGGGCATCAATGGTCCTTGTAGCATGGGTTTTAAAGGAGATAGACTTCTTTAGTAAAAACAACAATTACAATGACAAACAAACAAACAAACAAACAAAAAACCCATGAAGATTCTGCATTAAAATAATGGAAAGTCAATTTTTCAATACCTAATCAACTTACCATAAACTGTATGTTATAATAGTTCATTGCATTTTTAAAAGGAAGGAATGAAAGACATTTTAACATTTTAAAACAAAAACC